CTGTGAACAAAGTAGGGACGGATGACAGTCAGGTTTGAAGAGATCAGCGTCCCGGACTCTGGCTCGTGGTCTCCTCGGCTCCGGTTGAGCAAGGCCAGTGTGGTTACCTTCGCCTTTTCTTTGCCCCGCCCCGACAGACGGGCTGTCTAATCTAAAAAGCCGGCTGGTGGCCATCCATCAGACTTTCGAGCTTTTTTCTCGAGGGTGCCCGGTTCCCAAGCACAAAAACTAGTCCGGTGGCTTTGACAGCATGCTAGAAACTGCGCAGCACCCGAGACAGCCCCGCTGCCGAAGCGTCTCCGTTGCCATGCGAACGAGGTGGGCCTCCGCTTCACCGCGACGGAATGTCCTGCCCGGTAAGGCATGGGCTGCGGAGCTGAGGGAGCAAGGCTACAACAGTTCATTTCTCTCACGAATCCAGTCGCTTTAAAATGCTGCAGCAGGTGGAAGGAGCCTTGCCCTTACAGAACCAAGACCGAGCATGCTTGTATGTTGAATGGACATCTCGCAGCAGGGGTGCCACGTTGCATACTTTCGGGGGGCCCAACCCCCTCCCCCCTGCTGACCTGAGGCATCTTCAATGTCCATCTGAGCTCCCTCCCCGAATGCATATGAGCAAAAAAGACAAACTGGGTCAATGAAACGCGGCAATTTTCTGAACTGCTGGAATGCTGAACACCTAAACACACCATAATCATCATCAGTATCGAATGTCGTCCTGATTACAAACGGGTCATACTTTTTTAGACTTATTCGGTTTTTTGGGGGAGGAGTAGACCGTTCTTGCAGAATGTCGTTTTAACACCTAGTGGCTTTCACACTCAAAGTCAGGCAGGCTTTATATATATATATATATATATATATATATATATATATATATATATATATATATATACGTACTTATATTGATTTTAAGCCACAACCACGGAATTGAATCTTGGGCTCACGTCGTAGTGGCGTGCGTGGAACGGCTGTATGCGATGAGGAGAACAATCTGTGGCCACTTTAACGCTACTTAACAGTGAGGGTAGCGCCAGTGTGATGATGCAGTTAATGGGTTACTGGGAACAGAATAACTGGTTAAGTCATTTCTCGAAATATCAATGTGATAACTGGTTAACCATCCACCAGCAATGAACTACTCACGTTAGACCCGCAACCGACGTTAGCGGCTGGCATTCTTTGACTGCTGACACAGTTGACTAACCCAATAAAAGCAAAAAGAGAAACCCACGCAATTACATGCTGGAAACGCGCTGTACACGCACAGAACAGCATACGCTCGGCTGTGTTTTTCTTTTGGGAGGGGGGGGGGCAATTATGGTATCACGACCCCTGAGGGGGCACGACCCCTTCCCCGCCCCTCGGATTCGCCCCATCACTATCACATCGGGTTCAGATGGAAAGTGGTTCCTTCACATGAGTGCACATTGGAAACCGACCAATGTTTTTTTTCAAATTTTAGCTGCGACATGAGGGGCGCATATCAAAGTGGCCAAAATGGGAGAAAATCAGGTTTTGGGGATGTGATAGGTCTACTTCCTTGGTTAATCCCCTCAGCCGATTCTGGAAAGTGGCACTCTTGCATCACAGGACTGATTTACCAACCGTGCGTCATCATGCGACAAGTATGAAAGTCGACAGGGCTTAAAATCAAATCTGAAAAAGTCAAAGGACAAAAATGATAATGAATTAAAGTCGACGGGAACAAAACTTTAAGGGAAAAAACGTCGAAAAACAAAAAGTAGACGGGATAAATGTTGGCAGAGACAAAAGCCGAGTCGGAAAAGTCGACGGACAAAAATTCCGATGCTCTGAAAGTCGTCAATTCAATAAGCGCAATCAGGAACAAGTACAAAGGGATACCAGATGATAGTGAGAAAACATCGTAAAACACTTAAAAGAACAAGAAGTCGACAGAGATAAAACTGAAATAGGAGCAAGTCGTAAGAGATAAACGTCGACTAGGATGAAAGTCAGAATAAAAAAGCAGTCAGAGAAAAGTGATGGACAAAAATTGGGCATAGATGAGCTTTGATTTGCAAGACCATAAACAAGCAGACAGTCAAACCCAGACTCGGCACTGCTATGCGCAGCAGTGTGCCGCACATCATGCCCTCCGCAGAGCTTTTTGGCGCTCGCAGGAAAGCGACCGTCAAACGGCGCAGGCAAAATGACCCGATGAACTGGACGGCACAATTTGGGTGGTGCGTTCAGGGCATACATAGCAAGGTATGCTTAGCATTCGTCCTAAACCTAGATCCACGCATGTAAACCATATGAAATAAATGCATTACAAATATGGGTATTTTAGACAGGAGTCTGAATGGTTTGAAGCATGGCATGAAAGGGGCGTCGCTGAATGCACGCGGATACGCCCGTGGATTTAAATGGTTTGGCTACCTTGGCTCCATAGGTCCTCTGAGTTGGGCCTACCTTCGTTCACCCGGCAAACGCTCCTGACAGGAAGTCAGCGTTGGAGCCTTCGCAACTGCACCATATCCCGTCGACTTGGACTGTTTACGTTTCGTCTTTTATGCATGCCAAATTTGGTCGCTTTTTACTTTTTGTCCTTTGACTTTTTCTGATTCAATTGTTATCGCTGTCAACTTTAAACAATGCCGATCTTTTGTCGTTTGGCTATTCTCTTCTACATTTCTTTTATCCGACTTTTTGTTTAAAAAGTGTTTGGATTTGGCTCCCGGCCGAGAATTTCGTGTACCTCGTGGCAGTGTGCGTGAAAGTTTTCAACGTTAAACCACCCTTTATGTTGAATGCATTGTCAAACCTGAATAGATTAAAAGATAAGCGTTTACCATCACGATACTGTGTCTTGTACACCTCAATCGCATGCCAATCCACCAGACGCGTGACGTCTAAGAATGTAAGATAGCTGTAAAATGAAAACTTAAGCTGTCACACAACGCACCATTAATTCGCTTGGCCCGTGGTCCCGTAAAATGGACACCATAGCTGTTAGGGGGCCGGGTCTTCCCCTTACCATCTAAAGCCTCGCATGAAGTAAAAACCACACAGGTACCGAAAAAGTGAGCCAAACACTTGATAGTTATAGCATTGACGAGCGAGAACATGCATGCTTATTTTGAAAATAAAATGGCGCCATTTGAGGAAAAACATCGAAGGAAAAGTATGCATCTCGATCAGATGGGACCAATCAAGGGTGTAAAGAAAAATATTCCACTGCTTGTCAAATTGTTAAATTATTTTACACTGTGAGCAGTCATGAACTGAAAGGGAAGAACCGACTTAAAGCATTTTAATTAAATTATGCGTCGTTTTGACATTCTCGTATATGTAAACTAGTTACCTCATACCTTGGCACCAACGAATTGAGTGCTGCTACATTCTCGCCATCTATAGTTTGTGAACACCATACTTTTTATAGGGAGCGCTAATGGTGCCTCATTTCTAATTTTGATAGTAACCTTCACGCCTGGACACGGTATCTGCGCCTTCGACTCCTGCGGGTGATAATATTTTTTTTTGTGAATTATCATATTGTCGACTATTCGTTAATGGTGGCATGACGTGGCAATGTGAAGCCACATGTTTTTGAATAAGTGCTTTATTGGCAGCTGCACATGAAGAATTTCGCAAAATGAACTGAACTTCTTTGCCATAAAACACCATACCAGCGCACATGGGCACATATATGTCTTTTCTAGAGTTTAAGAACAATATGTTTTCAACTCCTTATTGTTGCGTGTCTATATCTGTCTCGATTTTGTAATTGTCGACATGCCTTATAATGATTATCATAATATATATATATATATATATATATATATATATATATATATATATATATATATATATATATCATGATAACGGGAGTGGGAATGGAGTGCCTTGGCCCACACCCGTCCCCAGCTGCTCATGCAGCCTCTAAGACTGTGCTAACTGTATCTCATTGCAAACCGATTTTCTTTTGTTTGTTCGTATCACATGCCGGCCGATTTGTATCTAGTGACAGCAAATGCTCGGCTTTTCTCACACGCATAACGGGCGGTAAAAAAACGCTGGCAACGATTTGTCTACATTTTCAAATGTTACGTTTAAATCTTGTCCCCCACTATCATATTTTTCCACCCGCGGCTCCGACAAGAGCTTGGAAAGGCAGGTTCGTCAAGTTGGTACCGCATTCGCATTCAGATTTAGGCCCATATTCGAGCTTCAGCGGACTCCTCAAATTGACCTGAAACTCATGGGCGGATCCTGGAGAGGGGGGGGGGGTGTGGCACGGAGCCATGGCCTCCCAAAAACTCTGAGAGTGTGTTGGCCCCCCAAAATTCCCAAAACTTCATAAAAGTTTTGTCTACTTACCATCTGCTTTAACTTTAGCTGTTTTAACTGTTTTGTTTTAAGTTCTGTTTAAGATTCAAAAGCATTTCGGTGTTTGAATGGTGTATATATATATATATATATATATATATATATATATATATATATATATATATATATATATATATCATGATAACGGGAGTGGGAATTGAGTGCCTTGGCCCACACCCGTCCCCAGCTGCTCATGCAGCCTCTAAGAGCTCCGGTCCGGTGTGTCCCTGCTAGGTACTCGCGAGAGGCACCATGCACTGAATCTCGGATCCCACACCAGCCAACTGGCGACGAATGGCTGCCCCCCCCCCCCACAAAAAAACAACTCCAGGCTAAATCCGCCCCTGCTGAAACTTTGTATACAGATGCAGTTTAATCTCATGAGCACAATAAGCACAAAATCTCGGACCGGTGCTCCCTATTACCGGAGATATATCAATGTGAAAAATCAAATAAAAAGGTAGACTCCTTCAATTCTTTCTAAACTCCGTATGCTGGTGGATCTTGACCTGATTACGAAAAGGCCTTGGATGCAGAGGCCCTGGTTTCCACTGACTCTTTTTGGCTTCGTCTCTATCATCTCTATCATTCAGTTAGCCATGGAGACAATGCTGGCGCACCACTTTTGGATGTGGTGTAAACACGAACCGTGCATTTCAAGGCTCTCCCAACGTGCGGTATATGGGCAGTGGCTGGAAGAGGGCGTGCGGAAGTGAATTGTCATGTTCTTCAGTTTCTGCGTAGCATTTTCACAAATGCGTTGATCGCCACTCGGAATGTGTACTTTCAGACTTGATTGCAATGCTGGTACCGTAATGCGTTCGAGCTCGTGAGTTTTGCGGATGGAGAATTAGTATGAGTATGGAAAACGGCGAAGATTGCGACGTTAAGAAGGAAGAGGACGACTCGGACCGCGAAATTGGATATGCCATACTCACAGACGATTTTATCCGAGCTGCATTTGAATCTACAGAGTCCTGCTCTGGTGTATCAGGACTTAATCAGGAGGCTGCAGATGCTCTCAACCAGGATGTTTGTTACAGAATACGGGAGGTGACGCATGTAAGTTGTGCTTGAACAATTATGCATGTGATTTATCACAGGAAAATTCAGTTTGCTGGTTGGGAATCCAACCCACAACAATGTGCCCAAAATTTGTTGTGTGTTCTGCAGCATGTGATGCTGGGCCAAAATGTGAACAACTGCCATTTGGGTGGCTAAATATGGTGGGATGTCAATAAGTTGATGTTTTGTGTATGCTTATGTTTGATTTTGACAACTGTCGCTGCCCACCTCTGCCACTATTATGAGCTGCTAATACTTGTGCATCACATTGGTGTTCAGAGTGAGGGGTTTGTTTTCATTCCTGGTTGCAGAGTGCATTTTGTTCAGCCTTGTCCTGGGATAGCCCATGTAACCTTTTGGTGCCATGTCCCTCCCCATCATCCCTGAATGTGGTGGGAACTCTTAGGCCTGATTCCCAGTATTATTTGGTAGTTCAAGATACTCAAAATGCTGTTCAGATAGAACTATGGCCCACAAATAATTTGAATAACATACTTAGCATGTCAAGGTCTTATGCATTAAGAATGGGCCCCATAGCAACATATTTGGTGCTTTTTAGGCAAAATCCTGACTACCCATTGCAATTCTTGGAAGTTGCCTGCTTTTTCCACTGGAAGTTTATACATGATAAGGCTTCATCAGAAATGGTGCATCACTTTCAGTCATCAGACATTGGCCTAACCATGTTAGACACATTTTACAGGGCACTTGATCTGTCCATCTTGATGCAGCAGTAAGTTAGAGCATGCACATTCTGGCCTTCTCAACTGGGGCAGGGTGGGTTCAACCCTCTTTAGATGCTCATGGTTTGCCCTTCACTGGCATGGTCCATAGCTGGTGGCAGTGGCTGCACTAAAGATCAGGTGATGTTAGAGGGCAGGATGCACCATGCCAAGCATTGCAGAGTGCTGAGCTTTTGTGACCAAATTCTGCCATTGGCCAGAAATTTGATGATCAAATGGTTTGAGCCAGAAAAGATTGGACTATATCTTAAAAACTTATATGTTCATATCAGCACACAAAATCCCTCTGAGACCCAGCATATGATAATATCACCCACATTAATAAACCTGCCAATTGGAATGTTAATGAGAACATACTTTGAATTTGTGCTTATTTTGTCATAGTTGTGTTTTGTTGATTATATTTAGGGGGTGGCATGACATAATTTATTCAGATATTTCTCATCACCTTCCTTTAGATGTTCATTTATTTAGTTAACTCATTCATGCATTGGTATACCTGGATACCACCTTCTCAACTCTGCAACATTTATCTATCAATGGAAGAGGTTTGGGTCGGAGAGATGTGTGCTGCAGGCACAGGCGTGCCCATGGTTGGTCAGCACAGGTATTATCTGTTGACCATTGTTATCTCAAATATCTTGCTTAATTGTTAAAACAAGAATATTTCATGGTGAGGTAAGCATAATGAATATTCCAAGCATTTCATATTTTAACTCAGGTTCTTCAGGGTATCCAAAATGTGTTATATTATGGTGGCAGCAAAATTTGTTTCCCAGGGGACAATGCTAGGTGCTGTATTATTCACCATGCCCCCAATTAAGCAAGCATCATTTTGTCTGGATTTGAAAGTCATGCATCTAGCTGGGAAGCCAGGAAAAGCTAGTAGCTCCATGATGATGATACTTTTCACTTTGTCTTGGTCTGCTGTTGGCATGTAGGCTCATAATATGCTCAAGTCATGACCTCTGTTATCAGTGATGGACAAAGTGACCCCAGAAATTCCCAGGCTGCTCCAATAGTCTGGTATGGCATATGATACACAGACAGTGCATGGAAGCAAGCAGCAGAACCTGACATCCTGCTACCTTTTGACCTGTCTGAAATATTCTGTTAGAGTTGAACATCTGGGATTTGTTGTGTTTCATGTACACATCATGCTCTGTTTGCATTCCTGTGAATGTTTTGAATGCAGGACTATCTGAGTCTCCAATATCAGTGTGCCAGGATATTTACAATAACTTCTTTTGTGGTGCCATTGCCTACAAAATGAGGCAAATTAATTGGAAGAATTGCTATATCATAAAAGCATAACCATGATTCCTCATCATAAATTCTTTCCATTTTTTTTTACTTAAAGCAAATGCAATGCACCTTATCACACCCTTGTTGTGGAGTGCCAGTGGCCACATTGGTCATCTTAGCTTTTAGGGCCATATCATGCCAGAATTCAAAATGGTCCCCATGTGGCAGTCCATGGCACTTACCACTTGGCCAATGCACCCCCAGTACTCTGCAACATTGGTTTAAGTACTTAAAATTCTATCATATTATGCTTTATATTTTTTGACCACCTGACCTGACATATTGATGATGCTTTGATCAAGAGATGGTGGGTCAAATCTGTGTAAAATGACATAGGAACATTCTCAATATGGAGCATGTACCTCTGTGATGTTTGATAATAAGCAACAGTACTCATCAGACCCAGAGAAAAGTTACAGTAGTTGGTTTGTTTTCCAGCTTGTTCAGAAATCCCCATGCTCATGGGTAGTCTCATGTAATGGATATCCTACCCTGCACAGACAATTTTTTTACTTCAGCTCATGCATTTTCCATGCTTGGAGCAAGTATATTGCTTTTAGAATGTGAGAGATTTTCCTATGCTGTTGGGTAATCTCTTTGGGATGGGTATCATACACAGCATGCTATTTTGCATTTTTGCTCATACATTTTCCAAACTTGGGGTATGCATGATTGTTTTGAAATATGAGAGAGATAGCATTTTGATTTCCAGAAAACCCACAAAATAATAGGGTGAACAAGCACAGGTTTATATACTTAATGTTGAGCATTAAGTATATAAACATTAAGTATATAAACCTGTCCTTTTGTCATTTTGAGAGTTGAGTGGGAACCAGGAGAATGTTCATGGACATTTGCACATGAACATGCCAAAGGTGGTGGGATTTGGGCACAATGTTAATGGTAAGGTCAGGAAAGTTGTTCTGACATCTGAATGGCCCATATGCATTTAGCCCTTCATGTGGCATTTTGCAGTTTCTAAATTCACGAACTCAAATGATTCGTCGCTGCTGATCGTTCATGTCCTGGCTGGCTGACAATCAGCGAATCCCTTCCGTCACTCCGGTGTCAGGATGTTCTTACTGCGTACTGCTGGGGCCGACAGATGGCAGCGCAGATGATGCGGCACGGCGGTCGCCAGCGGCTGTCGCACGGCGACCTGAGCCGGGCGCTGCGCTGGTACAGTGCGCCGCCCGTGCTGGGCCACAGCACGCGCCGGCCGCTGGAGCTGCTGGCCGTGCCCGAGGCCGGCGTCTGGGTGGCCGAGGAGCACGAGTGCGATCTGGCCCAGCTGGCGTTCAGTGCCGACCCGCCGCCGCCGCCGCCGCCCGCCGACTCCCAGCTGAGTGGTGCGTGGCACGCCGGCCGGTGCCGCCAGGCGATGGCCCGCACAGCGAGCAGCTGTGTGTGGCGGCGTAACGAACATTTTGGGATGCGTGCAGATTGTGGGGACCTGCGCCGTGGTTTCTACTCGTCTCCCGTTGTGTTATTGCCGGTGGTGACATGAATTGCTTCGATAATTTTCGGAATAAAACGTGATGTTCGTTTGGAAATCAACGCTTTTAAAAGGCGCGTTCGCAAATACCAAAATACTGTTTTCGTGCAATCTTGGGAATACCTGTCCTGTTCACTGGGCACATTGCATGTACAACAGTTGTTAGCTGGTGACGTCCCCACGGCTGGCGATTGCGTTCGTCCGCACCATTTGCCGTCCCTCTGACTGGGCGTGCCATCCCTCTGACTGGCCGTGCCGTTCCTCTGACTGGCCGTGTCGTCCCTCTGACTGGCCGTGCCGTCCCTCTGGCTGGCCGTGTCGTTCCTGTGACTGGCCGTGCCGTCCCTCCGACTGGCCGTGCCATACCTCTGACCGTCCGTGTCGTTCCTCTGACGTGCCGTGCCGTGCCTCTGACTGACCGTGCCGTCCCTCGGACCCGCCGTGTTGCCGCTCTGACTGGTCGTTCTGTCGTCGGCGACAGCGCACTGGCTGGCCGTGGACGGCCGGCAGCCGGACGTGAAGCAGGAGGCGGACCAGCCGGCCGGCTGCTTACTCTCGGCCGCTGAGCTCGCCTACTACGAGCAGATCACACGGGCCCTGTTCGGCGCCAACCTGGAGCTGCTGCAGGTGCTGGACACCACGGGGCCCCGGCCGTCTGCCGCCCCTGCGCGGTCCCAGACCTGCAGTCGCGGGATCCCTGGCTGCCGTTCCCTGGCTCTCCGGTCCTTCTTGGTGCTTGGTTTTCGGGCTCCTGTGTTCTCAGGTTGCCTAGCGTGCAGCATGATGCCCCCTGATTGGCGTTCCTTGATTACCTGACCGGCTTTGGTCGCTGGTGTCCGGGTCTCAGTCGCGCACAGCCGACACACTGCAACGTGTGTCGCTCGAGGAGCCACATGGCCCTGGCACCTCAGCCTGTGGGGCCTGGTTTGGTGAGTTGTATTCTGTGCTCAGTCCCTTTTGCTGGAGATGTCCACCTATGTCCGCCGCGTGCACGTGTGGTCCCGCCCGGCCCGATCGCTGGCCGCCTACATCCCATGCTCAGTTGCGAGCCATGTCCTGTGACCTCGCTCCACTTACAACATCTGGTCCAGCTTTGATGCTGGGTTGTGTAGTTGAGAAGTGCCGCTTTAGATGGTGGTGCTGGTAAATTCAAATGCACATCCATCATGGGGTGTGAGCGAATTTTACGCGTGCAGTATGCATGTGTATGGGCAGTGTGTACTCACATTTCCTCGTGGGGTTCTGCCACTTACGTCTTAGAGCCCTACTTTACCCTGCCTTACTGTAACACCCTCCCTCTCCCGCTCCATGATCTACAGCAGTCGATGCGCCCTAACCCCCCCCCCCCCCTCTCCCCCTCGCACACGGACGCACAACCCTATTGAACCCGATCGCGGCGCCCCAGGTGGCGAAGGCTGAACTTCGCCTTCCCGCCGACAGATCGCGCTGCACGACCTGGAAACGTCATGTCAGCTGGCGCCCGTGCTGCCGCACCTTCTGCGCTGCGTGCTGCAAGCGATCCGGCGTCTGGCTAGTCGACCCCGCTGGATGCAGCGGCTGCTGCGGGTGCTGCAGGCGCTCACGCGTAACACCGGCATCAACCTGGGCTCCAAGCCGAACGTGAGACGCTGCTCGGCCCGCGCGGCCGACTAGTGCGAGCTCGACACCAAAAAGAGCTGTGTTCGAGTGAAAAGGCGAGGCGAGGCCTGGTTCAAACACCCGAGTCGTTTTTTGCTGAGCGTGAGGTGGTTTTGAGCGGAATCCGGTCATGCTGTAAGTTTTTTCATGGCCGTAGAACGTAACTGGTCGTCGCCCGTGGTAAAGGTCTTCCGTTCTTGTCGGCAACGAGCCAACCCGCAAATGGAAGGCGAGCCCGTACGGTGATGCACCTCGCGATCACGGTATGGGCGCCCGGTCACCAATACGGAGCTAGGTCACGGCGTCGCCGGGTCAGGAATCAGAGAGGCAGCGGTCACCGACGGCGAGGATGACCTGGGGTCAGATGTAAAGCGTCAGGGCAGGGCGAGATGGCTTGTCGAGCTCCGAGCGTGCTGCTTTATGGGGTTGAGCAGGCAGGGTGGTCGGCACTGGCGCCGTGTGAGACGTGGCGCCCGACTGCGGCTGCCATCGGAGGCAGCAGTAGCCCGGCCGAGCGTGGGATAATGGACTGCAGATATCACATTGCCGACCCGCGACGTCCTGCACTGCTCCGCGGCGTCCCCAGCTGCGATGCGGGCGTCTCAGTCCCACGTGTCTGGACTCGAACCCATCTCGGTCCTCCGGCACATCCGCGCGCCAGAGCGGCCTCACGCCCCTCCGCCGCCCTCACGAGATCTGGCTCACCCGCCTGGTGTGTGCCCGTCGGAGCCTCTCCGCCCGCAAACAGGCCGCCGGCCGCCAGCTGCAGCGCACTCTGGCGGCGGTCCGGGTGCCGGCGCTGACGCCAACCGTGCCGCTGTGCCGCCAGCTGAACCATATCGCCAGTGCCTTGGTGTTCTGCGCCATCGAAGGCCAGCCGAAGGAGCCCGACCCGCTGCTGGACCCCGTCTGCGTCAAGGAGTTCGCGGCCCGGCTGCTGGCCCAGGTGCGGCGCGGCGACCGGTGGCGGCGTTGGTGGGCGGTGAAGGGTAGTCGGGGGTCGGAGTGGGTGCTGGCCAAGTAGTGTCATGAGCAAAAGTGAGGCATGTGATGCATGTAATGTCTGTTGCCCAAAGTGAAATCCAGTAAGGGCTATTTGTCACTTGTCCGTCCCACTGAAGGGCCAAATGCCCTCTGAAATCGTGCCTTCTGTCACTATTATGGTTATTTCTAACCCCCCGCCGCCTGGTTCCTGGATCTACAGCACCCTGGTTCATGGTTATCAAGAGCTCTTTCACAAACGCTTGAACCTGGTATCTGCCCCCTGAATGCCCTCTGAAATCCAGGAGAACGAGAGGGCTGCAATTGATAAACCACTGGTAGTCGTCCTCAAATGTGACAAATACGTTAAGTTTTAGGCATCCAAATGTGCAACTTGAACGATCAGTGTGACCAGAAGGAAGATGAAACAAGAAAATATGCCTTGTGTGCAGCGGAGATAGCTGTCGAAAAGTATGACGCATTCAGAAAAAGTACGATGCAGTCACATGCGCGGTTTATGGGCTGGCTATTGACCGGCGTCCGCCGCGCGTGCCAAAAGCTTCCGTGTAACCAGATCACTAGGCTGACACTGATCGCACGCTGAGGCCGACAGCAGGACTTGTGCCTGACTGGTGCCAGGGCGCGGACACTGTCGCTGTGACTGCTGCCGCTTCGGAGGGCGCCCCTGTGCCGGTGCCGGCGCCCAGCGCCGTCGCTCGCGCAGTGTCCGTCGGCGTGCTCGAGCGTCACTAACGCCGCCTGCCGCGCCCGTCAGCTGGTTTACAAGTGGACGACGCCGGTGAACCAGCTCCCCGAGCAGATCGCCCGCACGCTGCACGACACCGTACAGAACCGGGGCAACCGGCTGCGTCAGCAGTTCGGCGCCATCACGGCGCTCACCTACATGGGCCCCGAGGCCATCATGAGGTCAGTGGCGGACGTCGCTCGGCGGCCGGCCGGTGCCGGTGGCTGGTGTGTTCGGCGGTGGCTGTCCGTCCTTTCCATGTCCACTGGAGCGCGACCCAGTGGCGCGCCAGCGCTGCGGGCGCCGCGTGTCGCTGCGACCACCGTAGGGCCTGGTGTGGCCGACCTATGTCCGCGCCGCCGCCGCCGCCGCTGCTGCTGCTGCTGCTGCCGCCGCCGCCGCCGCTGCCGCACAGCGACAGGAGCGACCTGCACCTGAGTGGCGTGTGACGCGCGCGCGTGACGCCGCCGCAGGTACCTGTGCCCGCTGCTGCCGGACTACGTGCCTGCCATGCGGGAGGTGCTCGGCACGGACCAGCTGAACATGGCACTGCGGATGGACGCCATGCGGGTGCAGTCGGCGCTCGGGGTGAGTGCTGGAAGCGGCGCCGGCCGGTGTCGCACGAGACCACGCCTGCGCGGGCGGCGAGCAGGCCTCGCCGGCTTCGCAGGCCGCAGCCCGCAGGCGCGTTGGAGAATGTGACAGTGAGCCGAACACGCGTGGGTGCGTTATCGGGCGGGGCTTGCAGACGGATTGCGTTCGCGGCTCTGTAAGTTGGTGGTCATGTGCCACACCGGATTGAGATGTTCGTTCATGGACGGTCGCTGTTTGCGTTCCGGTGCTGGCGTGCCGTGAGCGTGGGCTATCGACACGGGCACCCGTGGGACGTGCCGATGGACGCTGACGCCGCGCCTGCGGTGACCGGGCGTGCCTTTTCAGCTGGCCATCCAGCAGTACCTGCAGTACAAAGCCCGCGAGTTCGCCGCGGAGCCGGATGCGGCTGGGGCCGGCCCGCCTCCGCTCGTCATGTACCGCCTGTGGGCCGAACTGTGTCAGCAGCTGGCGCCGGCGCCGGCGCCCGCCTGCTGTCTGAGCGTGCTGCGAGCCCGCCGGCCGCGCGCCTGCTCGCAACCGCCGCCGCCGCCTCCTCCTCCACCGCCGCCGCCGCCGCTGCCGCTGCGGCCCGGCTGCGCCGCCCTCTGGCCGCCGGGCAGCCGGCGCGGGGCGCGCGCCACGCAGCTTGTGCGCATGCCAGCGCGCCGCCGGCCGCCGCCACCACCGCCGCTGGCGGTCGCCTTCCAGGGCGCGCCACTGCGCCAGCGCTTCCCCACCATCTACTTCAGCTTCATCGGCGCGTCGCCGCTGCCCGAGCACCTGCTGCGGCGCGTGCAGTTCCCCAAGTCGCACCCGTTCGCGACGCAGGCGCCGCTCGACTCGCGGCCGCGCAAGGGCAGCTTGCGCTGCTGGCCGGCAGGTGGCAGGCACGTCGTTCGGACGGGGGACCTCAGCGTGCCGCTATGATGGCGGCCCGCGTTATGTGCCAAGGCCTGCGCCCGCTCGTGAGGCCTTCCCAGTGGCTTTCAGGTGGTGGATGAGTGGCAGTGAGGCGCGCCGTCGCCTCCGCCGGCAGGGTGAACTCCGTGTTCCGTCCGTGGGGCGGCCGAGGCCAGATCTCAGTGGGCGGCCGTGACGCCCCGTCTCTGTGTCAGCGAGGCCGCCGCCGCCTCCCCCGTACAAAGTCCGCGTGCGTGGTCAGACGAGGCGGCACCGCACGTTCTCCGCGGGCTGTCCGCCACTGGGGTTGGTGGTGCTGCACTGATGTGCGCTCCGGGATTCTCCTCGGACTCCCCGTCACCAAGCATTGTGTCGAAACCGGTTTTTGTTCATGCATATGATGTGAATAGTTCTCATGCAGGTCATGTGAATAGTTCTCCACGGCATGAGATCCTCATAAGCAAGTGGTCCCATGGGTCTTGAACGTAGCTCATATGAGCTTTCCACTAGCAGGATGATGATTCAGCTCCGTAGCCGGCAACACTCCCTGGCCGAGAGCTATCTTAGGAGATCAAATGTGAAATGCGTCTCCCTGAATATGGAGCTGGCTATGCAGTTATCACGCACACACTTGGCAATATGACATAGCCGCCACCGTTGTGAAAACGCCGTGTTTTGTTTGAGCGTGCTTTCAAAGTGCATACTTGATACCTGAACGTTACTTGACCCTTAGCGCTTCTCGTGATCGCTCGCCTGTGTTGCTGTCATGCCCTGTGGTTGGCTCGTAGCGTTGATTTCTTCGCTCTACTCAAGTATTTATTGTCCAGACGTCGGTGCATCGCCAGCTATAAGGAGTCGTCTGAAGCCGTGCGTTACGGCACGTCTCAACACTCACCGTGCTGTGTTTTTGTTATTTCAGTTTCACATGTGTTAGATCACTGGGTGTGCGTCCGTGAATTGTTGGACGTACAATGCCTCACGACGGCCCGCGTACTTGCCGAAGCTCCTTGGTTGCGTCTCCATTGACCAAAGCTCAACGGTCTGTCCTTGTTCCCGCCTAAAGTCCCCAACCATCATCATGTCCGTAGCCCATCTGGTGGCCGGTCAGTGCAGCCAGTGGTAGGGTATCGCGCGGTGCTGCCGGCCGCGTGTCGTTTCCCCGCGCCGCCGGCCGCCCCGCTGTTCGCCTCCCCGGGCCTGACCGGCGGCAGGGGCGCCCGCGACCCAAACGAGTGCCGGGGGCGCGACCGGCGTGACCTGACCCGGCAGGCCGGCCGAGCGTCTGCCGGCCGGCGGGACTACCGCGCGTGCAGCCGCCGCGGGGTCCGTGGCGCGGCCGCCGCACTGTGATGCGTGTGTTGTGAGAAGCGACTGCGATGTATTTATTGGCGCGTGCCGCGCTGTGCTGTTGGGGCGTGGCCGCCTACCAAGTGAGACTCGTTCGACGTGGCGGTGCAGCAGGCGCTGCCCGCTCTCGCCTGCGTCATCCCCTGAAGGAAAACGGGTCTGCCTTCGTCTGACCCGCGGGACGAGCTTTGCGTCCCTGTTGAGAATTGTAGAAGTGTACACTATTTGCTGGCCAACAAAGTCGATCGGCCCACATAGTCAGCCGCTGTCTTCCGCCGGTGTGACGCGCCACGCGCATGCCAGGACACTGTCCCCAGTCTTCACGCTGCCGGGTTTTCATGCCAATATTGCGTGAGGTGGCAATAGTACAATGCTTGTGTAAAACGATCTCTGGCAGTGACCGAGGGAAAGGGATTCAGCCACATCGCATTGTAAAGGTTTGGAAGAATGCCCTGGCTGTTAATTGCGTTCATCCACGTCCCTGCGAGGGTATCAGTCTCCCGAGAGCCTTCCCAGCCCCTTTTGACAAGTCCTTCATTCCAGCAGTTTTCGCCAGGGCGCATAATTTGTTAGCTGGCAAGTGTTGACGGATGATATGATCCGCAAAAATCCTGCCGTCAGAGAGTTCATTTGCCGACCCATCCCGACCGAGAACCTTCCTTCCCCTTCAGTTGACCTATCTCCGTGCAATAACTTGTTCTGTCAGCTTGGTTCTGGAGTGCGCGGCTGGCCGGCGCCGCATTCTCCCAACGGACATGGTCTGGTCAGTGCGCGCTGGACGCCTGTTGGCAGTCGGATGCACCCCGGCGCGACGGCGCAAGACAGTCTCGATGCGGCGCGCGCGCGAGGTACGCCATGGCGGCGCGCGTGCGACCGTTCTGTTACTTGGCATTGTGCTCGCCCATGCGCAGAATACATTTTGAACGAGAGAAGAGACTGTGGCGCACCGGTGTTGGGGACGCTGTGAGGGACGTTGAACACGTGGATCACGCAAAATAGCATTTGACTGTGCCGAGCGTGTAAGCACGAGAAGTGAAAACCTCCCACAAAAACACCGCCTTGCCCCACCCGGACCACCAATGGCTAGTCGGCATACCGCAGGACACCAAACCTGTGTTCACCCGTTCATCTGCTCCGCACGGTTGGCACCGGACGTCCGTGCAGTGTCCGGAGCTGGGCGCCGTTTCGCGTGTTCCTCGCTGGTGCGGTCGATCTCTGCTGACTCGGTCGATGTGCGGGGTCCGCGATGCGATATCTGAGATAATCGTCTCTGGATTGCCTGTCGGCAAGCGCTGAGCACCGGTGCGTCCACCGTTCGTGCCTCGGGCAGCGTCGGAAGCAGGTACTCGGAGCATCCGATCAGGGTTAAGTGGAAGAGGTTCACGCGCGCCATGCCGTAAGTTGCGTGTGCGCACACCCTCGTGCGTGCGCCGGGCAGTGGTAGATAACTGTCAGTGCATCGGAGCGCGTGCTGGGATAGTGCCGCCAGTCGAAGGGCGCCCGTCTCCATCCGGGCCCAGCCACGTCCGGTGGCCGCCCCTCCGGCGCGTCATTCGATAAACATTGGAACTCCCAGGCGGGACTTCTGCTGGAGTGTGGTCGTCTTGGAGACAGGGATTGCAGCTGCCCCCGGCTGGCGCACCACACGAGCACGCATCGCCGGTCGAGTCTTCCCCGGTGGTGGCGGCGCGGTGGGAGCACCTTGCGACACCTCTCCGACGTCGCGGTTCGGACCAATCAGCGACACCACGGCGCGGTGCGCTGATCGCGTGACCTGTGTCGCGGTCGCTGATCACGTCTTCCATGCTGGACCGCCGATGGGCCAGCGTTGTGACTGTTGCAGAGGGGTCGCACTAGGTCAACTGGCGGCGCGGGACGTGCAGGAGCAGTGGTATGAAGCAGGCACTCACATTTGCGAAGGAAGGATCGTGAGAGGTAGTTTTTCGCTTAACCGGCTACTGATCCTGCTACGACATCAGGAACACGCTACAAAAACCCATCTGAGCGCTCGTATTTGTTTTGCGGTCCTTCACATCAGTCGCCGACATCGCTCCTCTAAGCTGAGCGTCTTGGTTTAGCTGCGCACTTCGACTCGCCACCTATCTTGGCGGGGGCGGGAGCACACGGACCGTTATGTCGTGTTGGGCTGTTTTGGTCCTCGCGAACATCCATTGACCGCTCCAGGTGATTCTAAACTTTTGGGACCCTCTACGGTCCCTTAGGGCTTTTTGGGTGTCCCGTTGTGCTGCATTTCTCTGGGTTCGGGGGTCCGGAGTCACACAGCAGGGGTGGTCGATCATCATGTGCCCTCCCTCTTTCTGAACCTTGTACCTACCCTTGTTTTACACGGTGAGCTAAGTTGATGTTTGAATCGTATGACGTTACAGCAGAAACAAAAACTGCGAAAGAAACGTTTGTGATTTAGTAGCGCGAAAGCATCAGCCTCCAAATGCGACACGTGGAGCAGCTCCAGGGCCGTTTGCCGTACCACGTGGGCTGAAGCTTTCCACCCGGATTTCTGTGCCGGAAGTGCTCACAAATGAACTGATACGACACGCCCATACTGTTCAGCGAGTTGCAAGGTGACCTTGTTACCAACCGTTAAAATTTAATTACCTTCAATCTGAGCGGATATAAATGCGCACCGCTTTGCAATTGGAAGCTGAAAGCTGCCAGCTCGGATGCCTCGAGAAATTACCCGCTTTCGCACACCGGGTTATCCGCATTGACCAGTTCCTTACCGCCGCAGCCGCCAGTTTGAGACGCCTCAACATCTTCCAAAGCATCTTCCAAAGCGTGCACGTGGCTGCACGCCCTGCTCGCCGATGCTGCAACCTAATGTGCTCTACAAGCCCTGTTCTTTTCACTACAGGTCCGAGAGAGAGGCCTACGTGATTACGCCACTTGGTGTAATGCTTACCAGTCGCCGGGACGGCCAGAAAATGGCGCAAGCTCGCAGACTGCTGAGGGCAGCAAAGTAATGTGTTGACACAAGGAGGCGTAGATGACTTGGGTTTCGAGACAGATTCGCTGGAATTCGATGTGCTCCGCTGATGTGTGCGTGGGGATAGAGTAGCGTAATTTGCCCCAAAGATACTGTGGTTGACCACACCAGCTCCGTTAGCGGTTATACCGATGCGTCAGTGCCCACAAAGCGCGCCACCATTTACCCACCAGTGCACGGCACATTTCGTCGGCGAAAGCAGTCATAAATTTCTTCATAGTCATGTCATTCGCAAAGCACGTCACACTCGTTCACATGACTGGCGGGAGTCTCGCCGCGGCTCGCCGGAGCTGACGCGTGTCCCAGCAGTTCGCCCTGTGTCGCCTCAGACAACACACGCTCTTCCAGAGCACGTCCGCGTCCCGCCGCACCCTGGCGTTGATGTCCGGATCACACGGGCACCCCTGCGCTCCGTCAACACACTAACAGCGACGCTCCTCTCAGTACGCGCCGAGACGTCGGGCTGGTCTCGATTGCACGGAGAGATTTGATCGCACGGATCTCGATTTGTCTCGGTGCAGCTGGCCTCCGCGTCGGAGGCCGCGGCCCCTGCCAGACGACAGCGCGGCTGAGCATGTAGTAAAGCCCGGACAGCATGGGGCGCCCGGAGCCCAGCGGTCACCGCGGCGGCCGTGCGCGTCAAACATTGACGTTGCGAGGAGTTCACTGCACCCAA